CCTATTCCAAATTTCCCTACTTTCAGCTCACCGTTCTCTCTTGTGCCTAGTTTTGCATTGAAGTCTCCCATTAACACCGTATATTGGGTTTTGGAGGAATGCATGGCTCTAGAGATATCCTCATACATTTCCTCCACCTCCTGATCGGGGTGTGCCGAGGTTGGTGCGTAAACCTGTATGACCTTCAGCGAATACCGTTTGGTGATTCTGAGTATAAGGTACGCAACCCTCGTCGACACACTCTCAATCTTTACAACGTTGTTAACGAGAGACTTGTGGACGATAAATCCGACACCTCCTTGGGACAGATGGTCGCCCTCCCGGTAATAGAGCAAGTTGCCGGATTCGAGGATTACCGTGTCCTCCCCCTCTCTTCGGACTTCGGATAATCCTATAATATGCCAGCGTAACTTGTCTATCTCTTCTTCCAGCTCCACAATTTTCTCGTCAGTCCTCAGGGTGCGTGCGTTGTATGTTGCCAGGTCGAGTCGTCGTAGGTGGCAACCGAACCTCCACCGGAGATTCTTAGCACCCCCTGCCCCGCCGTTACCATGGTCGCCACCGTAGCCAGGAATAGCGAGGCCGCCGGGGACTGGGGGCCGTTTATTATTGTCATTGCTCATGGGGGGTATATTGCCATAGTTGCCACGCTTGGCGAGCGGGTTGGCAACCGCAGTTTTTTTATTGTTATTTTGGCTATTATCAGGAAGATGCTGCTGCCCATCTCCTGCCTGTTTCCCTTTGTCGCCTTTTACGACACCCACGGGAAGATATGGGGTAGTGGATATTCTTAACCGCCACTACACGGTGGCGGTTAAGAATATCCACTTTTTTAAACATTTACCATAGGTGTTACAAATAGTAGAGGAAGAAACGGCTGCCCACGTGTTGCTGACATGTCCGGAGGTCGCTGCACACAGGGCTAAACATCTTGGCACGCCGGGATCACTCCCCGAACTTGCTTGCAACATCAAAGGACTATTCAACTTCTTGAGGAGATTTCATGGCTCGAATAGTTGCATTATTCCTGCCCATACGCAAAATACGCGCTTAGACGTGGAGTTGCGGAAAACAACCCGTCGTTATCTATCTATCTATCTAGATGTTAACGAATGTGCCAACGAATTGCCTTGTAGTCTGCGGTGATTTGAGAAGAGGGCAAGTAATCTGCGAGAGTGTTGTGAAGAAGAGGTTGAGCAGTAAGGCACAGAGCCGTGCCAAACACTGTAGCGAAGAGAGTAGCTTGAAGGAACAGGAAGCATTATTTCAATGCTGCTATGAACCTTGCGAAGCTAGATATGGCTTGCAGGTTGCTTCCAAATTCAACACATCCTTACAAATGTGTGCATGCTAATAAAATAGTAGGCGCTACATATTTATCCATGACAATCACTTAAAATAATGCATGTTTAAAACGTTTTAAATATAAAAGATAAAGGGACTTTTGTTTGAATTTTTTTCTTATATATTTTTTTCACCATTCTGAACCTCCTCTGCAAAGACCGGTTATTGCAAAATAACCCTGTATATATATACTCTCTGTACTTCGGATCTTTGATAGCGTGATTTAGGCTTCGGTTCGTTTCGCTTGTGGCGCGGTACTACAGCGCCGCCACTCCTTCGTTTTCTTCACAACCACTCATTAACTTCTTCTTGTGGTTGTGAATAATGTCTCCCATTGATTTTGGTGGTGATAATCCTTAGTCGTGAAAACATTATTTCACATCAATATTTATAATTACTGCAACTACTTTACTAAGAAAGTTAAAGTGTTTCTAAAAAGATTTAGAAATTTGTAATAAGTTCCACAATATCCTGGAACAACCAATTTGTGAGGTGAAGTGATCGCTACCAAGAATACCAGCTTCAAATAGCAGCTTAACACTGCTGTATTTCGTATGGTGAGTGTAAAGAACCGGAGACCATTTTTACTGGAAAAGAGGCATTCCATCTTATTCCTCACGGGTGACAACGCGTTGTTTCGCAAACGAGGATAAATGTCTATGGGCCACAGCAACCAATTACCACCAGGTGGACTGTGTGCTCGTTTGTCACCCTATCCTATAAAAAAACCCAAACTGAATCCATTATAATTCCTTTAAAAATTGTACAAAATTATTGTAAAGTTATATTAATCTAAAAAAATCCTGAGTGGTGAAAACATTATTCCACCTCAATATTTATAATTACTGCAACTACTTACTAAGAAAGTTAGTTTTTTTAAAAATATTTAGAAATATTAGAAGTTTTTTTAGAAATATTTAGATGGTTGATCTTGTTCAAATGATATACTCATTACTGGCACATTTTACACATTTTATAGGGCAAAGAAATCCTTCCCATAAACCTTTCCATAGCTCATTTAGTAACTGGGAATTGCAGGTGCGTTGCCGGCCTTTTAGAAAGGAGTAAGGTCTTTTCTTGAAGGTCCCTAAGTAGTATTGGTCAGGAAAAATTACCGACGGTAAGCTATTCCACAGAGAGGTCGTACGCGGAAGAAAACTTCTAGTGAAACGTACAGTGGTTGACCGCCAAACATCCGCAAAACCGCCAAACATTGGCACTGCGAAGAGATGTTGCATCTCTTTGCATTTTCTTTCGCATTTACCACGGGGATTGCTCTGAGGAATTGTTCGGATTAATCCCAGCCGCCAAATTTCACGAACCCACATCGCGGCAGAACTCCCGATACTATCCACAAAATCTCGATGATTGGCGGTCCACTACTGTGCGATTTAGAAGATGTTTTCTTCCTCGCACGACTTCCTTGTAGAATCGATTACATCAGCGATTTTTCCGGGCCGATACCACTTAGGGACCTTCAAGAAAAGAGCCTACTCCTTTTTAAAAGGCCGGCAACGCATCTGCAATTCCCCTGGTTCCATTTGTGTTGCAGTTGTTCATGGGCGGCGGTAGTCACTCCTATAAAAAAAAATCCAGGTGGTATGAATGGAATCGGGAATTTTGCCGCGATGTGCGTTCGTGAAATTTGGCGGCTGGGATTAATCCGAACAATTCCTCAGAGCACTCCCCGTAGTAAATGCGAAAGAAAATGCAAAGGGATACAACGTCTCTTCGCACCGCCAGTGAATCGAGCGGATCGGAAAGGACGCTGGATGCGGCCAAGTGGAAGGAGCTAGCACACCATGTGAGGCTGAACCTGCTCCTTGTAAAGTTGTTGGCGGTGTGCTGGCATTAAATACTGTCCCACTATGTTGAGCACGCCAGCTTTTTAGAGGCCTATTTGGCCTTCTCTTCCAAGTAACCACGAAACTGCACGTTACTCGATATGTCCACGCCGAGGATTCCGATACTGGCTGAGGCAACAAGGGGAGTGCCTTGAAACTGAGGAGATATGACAAAGGGGTTCCTTTTAGCGGTAAACGCGCAAACTTGTGTCTTCTGAGGATTAAATTGGTCTAGATTTAGTCGCCCCTAATCCGAGACTTTGTTAAGCAAAGACTCGACTGGACACATAAGTTTCTTCCGATACTCGGCGACGTTTTCCCGGGAAATATTGGCATGGCTGGTGTATAGAGCATCACCAGTGCAATCATCCGCATAACAATTAATGTTACCGGCTTGCAATATATCAGTGATATGTAGAAAAAACAGCGTTGGTGATAGCACGCAGCTTTGTGGAACACCAGCGTTAATAGGCCTGTAATCGGAGCGTACACCATCTATTACGACTTGTTGTTCCGATCAGCCAGAAAACTGGTGATCCAATTGCACAATTTCTCGGGAAGCCCATAGGAAGGAAGCTTCGAAAGAAGCGCTTTGTGCCAGATCCGATCGAAGGCCTTTGCTACGTCAAAACTAACGGCCAATGCCTCCAGGGTCAGCAGAGGCGACTGGGTCTCCGTGACGGACCGCTCCAAGCTCAAATGCAGAAGGCGGTGCTCCTCGATACCGCCCGCATCGTCCGCCGGTTTCTTTCCCTTTCCCCCTAACCCTCGGCCATTTGGTATCCCCTGCCGAGGGCTTCCATCTGGTTGGGTTTATATATATTTATGTATTTTTTATGTATTTATTTTATTTAATTGATATTTATGTATGTTTATTACTTTCATTTACAATTATATATTTATACTGCCCAACCAGATGAGAATACTATATATATATATACCCCTCAGAATAATAAAATTTTAAAATAAAAAAGAGACTTAAAATGGGAATAAATATTTATCGATTGTATAGCTTTGTATTTATCATGTATGTGCTATTTGCAATTAAGTAGGCTTATCGTCATCATCATCATTACAGCCTGTCACAAGTCAACTGCTGAACATAGACCTCCCCAAAGGAACGCCACAAAGCAGTCCTACCACCTGCAAGCATTATCTTATAGATAGGCTTATAATATACAAAATACCTTGTTTTTATCCATACTACTAACGCCTGTGTTATTTTCTTATTATTACATTGCTATGTTATGAAATGAGTACTAAGTAAATTAGATATTCACTCAATCTTTCTTATCTTGGCAGCTTCATATAAACTTTTCCATTTTGTATAATACACATATTCCCACTGAGTTTAAAACAGTTGACACTTGTATTTGCTTTTATTACATTGTATTAATATATGCTTTATTTACTGGTATGACTGAAGGATGCTTATTATTCAGATAGGTCAATATAAAAAGTGAAGGCTGAAAAAGTGGGATGCTATGTTTCTATAATTCTTCACCACTATAATGGGAGTTTTTTTAAGTGCTATAAAATGTATGAATGGCGAATTTAGCACAGATTTCGTTCTCATTCTTTAATCTTATTCATAAGATTGCAAAGGACAGGGTGAATGAAGGGAGAATAAGGGTAACAGACGAGCACACCTGATGGTAAGTAGATGATGAGGTGTTCAATGCTGTTAGTAAAGCCCTTGTTAATATTTTGTTTGGTAAGAAGATACATAGTTGTAGTACCTGATATCAAATTTTATTATGTATGCTTAAAAGGTTATACAATTTTCGTTTAATAGAGTTTTGTTTGTTTTAGGACGAATTAGATATAGAGGCAGTAGCTTGTGGAGCAATTTTGTCTGATTACCAAAGAATAAGGGTAGAAAATGTGTAAGTAACATCACATTTTTTTAAATACTGAAACTGCTATAGACTCATTTGCTAGTTTGTTTTATTTTTATATTGCAATGATTCTGAATTTCTTGTGATTAATTCTTAATCTATGTTACAATGCAATAAACATTGTGAGAAATCTTTAAAAAAAATTTAATCTCTAAAACAATGCTTAAATGTACAATCATATTTGACATTATTGTAAATGTTATGTCTGTTTTTAGATGTCAAAGGCTTGGTTTAGTGTGTCTAGCATATTTATGGCGAAGGAACCAAAAGGAACTGCTACAGGAAATGATAGCTAGTGGTGTAGAAGCTATTATTATTAAGGTTTAATCTAATTTTATCATAAAAAAAATATAGCTCCATAGTGGTTCAAAAGATATTTGTAAAAAAAATGTGTGATTTTCTTTAAATTGATAATGAGTGTGAATGGTGTTTTTATAATTGTCTTGTCAATAGCTACACTTTAAATATAATAATTTTCCACAGGTTGCTGCTCTTGGCCTAGATCCTAAAATACATCTAGGTATGAGCTTAAGCGACATACAGCCACACCTTCTAGTCATGCAGAAAAAATATGGTCTCAATGTTTGTGGAGAAGGAGGAGAGTATGAAACTTTTACATTAGACTGTCCTCTGTTTAGGAAACGATTAGTGATGTAAGTGTTTCATCTTTTTTGTGTTTATCACATATATTAGTATCATAAATCAATAAATTATGGTAGGTATGTCAAATGAGTAATGCTAGAAGTTTTTGGTGGTTATTAATTCTTTGACTCAATTATATTATAAAATATTAATATAACAAAACGTAAAAACAGGCTTCAAATTGCTAAAAAAAAGTTATGTATTTGCTACCCTGCACATAGATTTCATAATTGTGTGTGTTTCATAATCATGCATTCATAGTGAATCTTATTTTTCTTAATCGATTATTCTTGTATAAAAGCTTTTAGAAAAATTTACTTCGCAAATATCCGCGTTATAAAATAAAATGATGTGTCTTACCTAGTATATATATATATATATATGATAGCGGTTAGCCACCGTAGAGTCTATATCACCTGAGGATGCCTCGTGTAGAGGCGAAATACGTGTCGTATTATCGTCAGTGGTGTGTCTTGCCTAGTGTAGTGGTGTTGGGAGTAGCGGTGCTGGGATTAGTGATGACGGCGATAGTGCACGCAATTGAGGGAGGGCGGGAGGTGCTCTTCATACTAGGTAAGACACATCATTTTATTTTATAACGCGGATATTTGCGAAGTAAATTTTTCTAAAAGCTTTTATATAATGGATTTCCGCAAAGTAACGCCTGATTCTATTAATTAGATTATTCTTTTGTTAGGTTTCAATATCATAATATAGAAATTAGAATATAAAGTTTTTTTGCAGAGATGAAAAAGAATTAGTGATACATTCAGATGATCCTGTTGCATCCGTCGGTTATTTAAATTTAAAGCTGCATCTGGAAGCTAAAGAAAACTACTGCGAACCCACCCAACTACCTCCAACTGTGAAAAACTCATTAGATTTTGTAAATGATTTAAATGATACGGTATTTAGTGATTTAAGTGATATAGAACTAAGCGAATCTGAATTAGAATTTGAGAAGTTAGAGCAGAAGAAGAAGGAAGAAGAAGACGTAAACCCATTGCTCACTTACTCCCGTGAAGGGTGTGATATTTCCGCCAATTTAGAAGCTGCCGATGATTATCAAATTGACAACACAGAGAGTATAGAAGTTGGATACAACTATGACCATATGTGTAATGAAAGCGCGAAACATCCGGTTATTGATCATAGATCTATATATGGAAATAGTCATGGATGGTATTTTATTGGTGGAATAGTGGGGGAAGGGCTTGATACAGCAGTTGCTACGGAAGATGCTATGAAGAAACTCATTAGTAGGTAAACTTTTTGAGAGTGATTTTATATATTGTGCTTCAGTTGTTCTCCTAACAAGTCACACTTGACGCGATCATTACCTAACACTGCACTTTTTATACTACAATTATGATTTGTTTCAAAAATCTGGCAATGGTATTATTTTTAACATTCAGCATGATCATGATGAAACTTATTTATGTAGGAATTTGGCATGTATGCGTTTGCAAACATTTTGTTAGCATTTGCAAGAACTGACTCATTACGTCAACGCGATGAAATGCGGGAATGTGTTTTTACTTTTTTTGATATTAGTGTAAGTGAGAAATGAACTTGCAAGTGCACGTTTTTAAATGGCCACTACCCATTAGATGCCGCTCTGAGGTCTAAGATATTTTTTTTATAGAATGACAGTGATAAAGGAGCACAAAGTTCACCTGATGGTACGTAGATGCTGTGGCCCATAGACATCTATCCTCGATTAAGGATCAATATGCAGATATGTTTTTTACCTCGAGTACAAAGATGGAATTATTTGTTTACAGTAAAAACGGTCTTCAGTTATTTTTCTTTTACCTTGATATTTATTTATTGGTACTTATGAAACTGCCATTCTCTAGAGTCAAAAAGGCTGCTTGACTGTACGGTAGACCTACAATAATTACTGCTAATCGTTCTATTACCTGAAGTAATAATTAGCGAAAGAATCAGTAACATTGTGGGAATCACCCGGCAAGAAGCAAAACCACGGATAGGATGCAAAAAAGCTGCATCCTGCCCCATTTCTCCGACGGTCCGAAGAGCCAAGAAGGGCATCGGTGGAGACCTGATATCCGTTCGGATGAGAGGGCAGCAGGAGGTCCAACAAGGTGATCCTCCACATTCTGGAATCCGCATAGGCTACTATCTACATAGTAGTAATCAGATGTGCCAGACCATATACCAAGGCAAAGTCATAAACAGATCTCCTCGCATGCTCGGTTGAACACGAACTGAGCCATTCAGCGCGATGGGCGTTAAAATCGCCAAAGATCACGGTCTCTGCGGATGGGATCCGTTGTATAACAGAATCTGTAGCCACTTTGATGTGGTCGATGAGTTGATCTGTGTCGGCATTATCGCTATAGATCCCGTATACTCGCGGAGGTCGGCGAAGTCTGTGCGCAGCCAAAGGATGAACCGGTCCGAACCTTCAAAACTGCCAAGGGGTCGAGACCTGAAATCCTCTCTGGCGTATAAACGCATTCCGGCCCGAGGCACAAAGGAAAGAAAGAAAGAATATAAATATTAATTGCTGCAACTTACACTTAGTTTACAAGTGATAAAATTAAACATTTTGTACAACCGACTTCAATATAAATAAAATGAGAACATCATCAATGTACTCGAAGTCAATTAAATGCGCATTATTATAACTCAAAAACTACTCGTCAGATCTTAATCAAATATATATGGGACCACGTGAGAAGCACCAGCTTTCAAATAAAAAAAAAGTATCATCAAAATGGGTTCACCTTGAAAAAAAAAATTGAGGTAACACACTTAAAAAACACAGTCGAATTAAGAACCTCCTTTTTTAAGTCGGTTGAAAAAGAAAAAAAGAAAATATAAAAAATATGGTTGCAGTAACAAAAAGGCCATAAAAATGACTATTCAAAATAAGCAGTAATTAATGAAGTATATTTTTGGTAAAAACACCTGTGAACAATTATCGATAGATCGCTCGTTTATAGATGACATGTAATAATAATATTTCATGTTATAATTAAAAATATTTGTTTTAATCTTTCAAATAGATATCGATATCATAATATCAATATCATTCACAGAGTATTCTTACAAACATACATTCATCACGGGAAAATAGCGTGTCATAAACTTCACAATGTATTGCTTGTCGTAATGATTTCTCTTATCTACGTTAATACTACATATCGAATAAATTGAATTTTTGCGGATTTTATCGATTATACTAACTTCAACTTATTTTTATTTCTAAATGCCGGTCACGGAACTGACTTAGGTGTTACCCGAGATAACCTTTAGTTATTAATTTGACCCGATCTACGCAAAATCAGCTTAATGTACATGTGACAGCGCATCTGAATTTTGATTGTTAATCGACTTATCGTGCTCTATTACCAATTAGGCAAGGGCTTTCTCTGTATTCTGAGATACACAGAGAGTAACACCGAAAGCTTGTGCCTAGCAGTGGGATGTATTTAGAATATAACTTTAATTTTTATGGGATAATTTTATTTATTTTTCGCACCCTTACGTAAATCATGCCATGTATTTCAGGGATTTATTCTACTTTTTCCCACCAAATGTCCCACTGGTGTGACAAAGTGGACTCTTTAAAATATGTTCGTCTACTTTTCCTCATCAATAATTTTGTTATGAGTATTTCTTACAAAAGGTAAGTGTCGAAACTTATTTAAGCAGGTAACTTTTTTTTGGAGCTCCGTATAAAGATAGAAGGAAGTGAATTCCGTTGGTGATTAGTGATTGCAGATTGTGGAGTAGAGTTACTCTCTTTAAAAATTTCGTTCAAAAGTGTTCATTGAAACTTCGAGCTGATTAGATTTTCAAATCAATCGGTCGAGCCGTTTCAAAGATTTTCAAAAAATATAAAACTAAAAAAAACCAAAAATGAAATAGATAAGCGGGAAATTCCAGGGACGGCCTGCAGAATCAACCGATTTTCAGATTTTTGCAGATGTGGGATCGATGGGGACTTTTCACATTTCATTTGTAATGGTGTTCCTAAAATTTGTACCAATTTTTAGCTCTATGCGAATTATTATAACCTTACCCCCATTGTTGAGCTTACTTGACAGGACTAAAATATTCCGTGATTTTATACTTCTCGGCATGTATATCATTGTATATCTGTCTTTTTAAGAGGTTATATTATTAAACATCTGTGATTTCAGATTATGTAAGATCTTTTATTAACGTTGTCTGCGATTTCTGTAGATAACTACAAAAAATGTTATTAACAATATGTAAGTCAATGACTTATATTGATTAGAATTATTTAACTTTGATGATTTGTTTGCTTTTTGTTTGAAAGACATTTCAAGATCTTAGAATTTGCTTACGCCAGCCCTGGCGGGGAAAAGTAGACGAACACATTTTAAAGAGTCCACTTTGTCCCACCTGTGCGACATTTGGTGGCAAAAAGTGTATTAAACCATTTCAGGCCAGCAGTACGGCCAACTGGCGTACCATGTACCAAATAGTGCTTACAAAACTCAATTTCAATAATATGATCACATTTCTAGATCTACTGGATACAGAAGATCTGCATTTGACGAACGTTAGTTCGGTGAACATTTACATGCGGGACATGGGCGAATATGCAGCATTGAACAGTGTGTACGTGAAGACGTTTTGCTACCCAAACCCGCCCACACGAGTGTGTATACAATGCCCTTTGCCCGATGACGTCGGTCTCATATTGGATGCTGTAAGTATAAAAGAAATGACAAGCTATGTATTTTAACATGATTTGCTTGAACTTCAATTTTAGATACGTTAGCCCATATACAACTCCACATATTTACAACCTGTTAGCAAAACACTTACAATTTGGTAAGAGTATATGAATAAAAATAAACCAACAATGTCGTATACTAATTTTACGGATTTTATCTAATTAGCTAACGAAGGCTACCTTCAACCTTTTTCAGATTTTAATTATTAATTTTGTACCGATCTACGTATTATTAATACGTAAAAGTTCAAGGTAGCCTTCGTTAACTATGACATCGCGACGTCAAACACCTCAGTCCCCGCAATGACCATGGGCGCAAGAAAGTTCCCGAAACGTCGGGAATTAGAAAATTTAAAACTAAATGCGATAAAATCTGTAAAATTACTTTAGTTCCATTTGTAGTATTCGTGTAAATATAAGAAGTCATTAAATGTCATATAAAGTTTTAGTTTCAGTTAAAACAAGTTCTGACGACGAAAATATAATCGATGTTTCATCGATGTTTTTTTTTTCTATCAAGAAATAATTATTAATATTTTTTCTGCATGATATCTGCAATGTTTATTTCATATTTTTTCTGTCTGATGTATGCAACGTTTGTGCGTAACGGTAGAAAAACATAACTATTTCCTCGTTGGCGAAAGCGAGAATGTTATCTATCCGTCACTGATTTTCATTTTTAATTGCGTTGCGTGATTATTGCTTGTAAACACTTGTTAAAACTTAGCAGTTTTATATATAACCACACTGCTTAGTTTTTACTAAGCTGCATGAACTAAAATTAATTTCGTTTAATTATTTAGGTTGCACATAAACAAGAGCCCAGCGACAATCAAGAGTCGGATGGCAGCAATACGAAGGAACGGGTGACAATGCACGTGCAGGGTATATCACACTGGGCACCCGCTAATATTGGACCTTATAGCCAAGCTGTTAAGGTAGATGCTATATATTAATCCCGTACTTAGTTTAATTTTTCCATACGACAATTCGCGTTCCGAACTGACTACCCTCGTTTGTTACTTTTAACACGAGGTAGAGCTGCGTTATATATTAGCAGCTTATTATAGCTGATTTTGAAATCTTGTTTCTTATTTAGCCTACAATTTTACATAATTATAATAAGTATTGATGATAATATGTTAATTACTTAATGATTATTAACATTTATTACAATAATAAAAATAAGTTTATTATCTATTCTATTTACTTTTATTTTTACACTAGCTGTGCCCGCGGCGTAGCTCGCGTATACAGGTTTTACATAAACAATTTGTCGTTTAGGTAAGAGAATATTAAACGATTTATTTCATTACTGTATCAATAAGTGGTAACTAAATAAATCATTATCATTAAAGTTCTAAGTCGTTTATGATAGAGCTTCTGTGTAAACGACGTGAGAAGTAGGCTTAGCCGGGGTGTACACTAAAAGGTTACGGGGGCTACTAACGCGGGAAAAAGCAACATAGAGTTGGCCATGTGCAAAACAGTCAGTACTGAGGTACACTCCTACAACGCGTAAAGTTTGACCTTGCGCTTTATTTACGGTCATCGCATAACACACGCTCACTGTAACTGGGAACTGAACGCGCTTAAAACTGAAAGGAAAGTTACTTCTTAATAGAGGGTTTTTGGGCAGTGCTGCCAGATAAAAAAAAACTAATTCAGCTCTAGGACAACACAAAAAGCGCTAGATTTCATGAAAACAGCGCTTTAAAAAAGCCCTAGATTTCGCGCTAAATTAACTACAAACAAAGTTTGTGTTTTTTTATATAATCATAATAAAGAAAACAACATTAAGTTTTTTTTCTGGCAATATTTTTTTGATGTATCAATACTTCGCAGGACATCGACTTATAATTATGGCAATTGCTGTCAACAGTAGTTAGTACTGTACGAACAATAAAAATGTCATTAATTGTTTTAAAGTGCAATGTATTTTGCAACTTAGTTTCAGATGTCAGCATCTGATTGCGGTTGCTACACAGTTTCTTTGTGTTATAACTTCTAAGTAACTTTTAACTTAATAGCTGTGCTCTAAGCAACTGACTGAAACTGAATAAAGCAAAATAAATGCGTTGCCAAAACCATGAACAAAAACTTTAATAAAGGGGATTTCCCCGCTTATAGTCGTCGGTAAAAAAATCAAGTTGATCATCCTAAAGGGGAAGCCAGGAGATCCATAGCACAGGGTATCCTAGTTTGGACTCGTCTCCCATGCTCTTTGTTTTGTGGAAAAAATATGTTTGAAAAAGATAAACTGCAATGTACTATTTGTGGGAAAAAATAATAAAGGTCATTATTATTATTATCGGTAATGTGGACTAACAGTGCTGCTATAAAAGGGTTAATAACCCGCTAGTCGCTAAAATATTGAAATGTGTGCTAAATATACCAAAAAGCGCTGGATTAAGCTAGGTGCTAAAATTTCGAAATGCGCGCTATACATTCCAAAAAAGCGCTAAATCTAGTTCCCAAAGCGCTAAAATGGCAGTACTGATTTTGCGTATATTATAAATACAATATCACGACATTTCGTTGCAAAATTTTTATTTTTGGTCGGATTCCGTTGTATGGCTTCGATTGATACAAATTTCTTCAGCAAGTCTCAATACGATTCATCGGCGAAAAATCTCAACACAGCAATTCAGAAAAGTTTGTAATTTGTACAACTCCATCTATTACGTCCTTTGTGTGAGAAAACATCCTTTTTAAATCTCTTTTTGTGTTTTAAGTATATTAATTATTATGGAACGTTTTTTTTACACACAAATCTTTTTATTACTATTTCTGAGATTTTATGGCGCCATTGAACAAATTCGAACCTACATTTCAAAATAATAATTAAATGTAACTCGAAGATACGCTTTATGATTTTCTTAACGATTTCTTTGAAAATAAAAGATGTTTACTTTAGACGTGATGCGTTCATATAATAACAGACAAATAGACATACAGACAATTCTAAAAATTATAAAATGTTCTTATTTAATTATTTTCAGTTCCCCATAATGATTTTAGCCACCAAAATATATACCTATACAATGTACAGAAAGAGACACAACATGTTATCATCATTTTTATTATATGTATATATTTAAAGAGAGATGGCGCTGCTAACATCAATTCTAAAAATAAAAGAGATTAATTGACGCGATTGATACATTATATAAAACGCAAGAGAACTTATAAATCAGTGCCTGCACAGTAAGCAAAAAATAAAGTTTGACTCTCGCCAAAACCAAGGATTTGTTAATAGCTCTTTTAAAATTTGATTTACCACATAGAGTACTCGGCGGTAAAGAATAAATTGAGTTTGTCAACACGCAGTAGGGCAGCGAGTAATATAATAAAGATTAGCAGTAAATATGAAAACTCATCTACAGGAAAAAACCACATTGCATTTTCACAACACCACCATCTATCGAAGAAATGGGAAAACTATTGTGCTTCAGATTTAGTTAATAAGGTTAATATATTTTTGTATAATATATTTAATACGTTCTTTAATACTTTTGTTTACTGCGTTTTAGATATACATAATTATATCATTATTTTACATAATTTAACTATGATTTATGATGTGATATTACTTTAAAATGCACTTGATGACTCAAACAAAGCCACCGTTGAGCAAATTCGTACCTATGCTTCCCTACCCATACTTCAGAATATTTATCATAACTTTTGATGGAATGAACTGATTTTAATGAAATAAAGACTAAATGTAACCCGAAGATACACTTTATAATTTCCTTAACAATTCTTATGATATAAATTAGTACTTTATACGTGATACGTTAACAAACAAACAGACAGACAGACAGACAGACAGACAGACAGACAGACAGACAGACAGACAGACAGAAAATTCTAAAAATGGTAGAAATGTATTTAATTACTTATTTTTAGTACCCCTCAATCACTTTTATTACAAAAATATAAAATGTACAGACATCTGCTATTTACAGTTTTATTATATGTATAGATTAGTTATACAACGTGTCCCAAAATTCAACGATAAGCCAACACCGGAGGATAGACCTGCCCCGGATTAATCGGGTAAAAAAAGAAAAAAAATATATCCCAATTATATTTTAAGTTATATAAAAAAAATGAAATTCTTCAGAAATTGAGACCGTTTATGATATTTTTCACTACCATGACCACAATTTTTTAAATATTTTTTTCTTTTTTTTTTTGTATATAGCGTAGGTATTTACTAATTCTAAAAATATTTTTACTAGGTTAATATCATAGATGTTAGTATACATTAGATTGGCGATAGTGATTAGGATGAGACCAAAAACGAAATGTACCTGTGTTGAGTGAAATGTGCATAATATGTGTGAGACGAATACTGCTACGCCATGCATCAACTTCAATTATCGATACTGCGCTGTCTGTGTCATAAAATGAATATTTTTATATTTGAGGGCATAAAAATAAAACTACAACCAAATAGTTTGTGATTTTTATTTTCCACCAAAAATAATTAATTTATGGTAAAAATGTAAGCTCTCCACATAGGCATTTTGCAATTTTGCTTCATACTTCAATTTAAGAATCAAATAAGTTTCGATTATTAATTTAATATTTAAGTGTTTATGGTTTGATATTGCTGGTGAATCATACACATGTATGTCTAGTATGTTAATTTCTTTTTTTCAGGACACAAGTCATTCGTTTACTAATTTACGAAACATATTTTCGTTTACAATTTTTCCTTTTCGGAACGCAGCTTTACACTTTTTGCACTTCTATGAAAAAAAAAACATTTTTGTTCAAAGTGCTTGCTACATATAGTTGAATATTTTTTGGGAATCCAGTCTTCTCTATTTATAATATGTAACCATTTTTGTTTAACCTCAATATTTTTTGTGAATCTGAACCATTATAAGACTTTAAATTATCTCATTTAAGTATTTACTGTAATGCCATTTGGCTACGAAACCCTAAAAATTAAAATTAGAAAATTAAAAAAATTACGAAGTTACAAGAGGCTGCATCCAAACATATGCCTTTGCCTGTTAGAAACATATTATCGATAAGATCATATTGATAGTGTCAATCTCTACTAAAATTAGATCAGAAATAGCGGGAATTCACATATTTCTTATTATTTTTAATATAATTCTCACATACGCATTTAGAGCATTATCGTAATAAAATGCGATATTTTTCTCTATCCATTTCTGTATAAAACATTTGTGCCAGTTCTAAAATATTGCATTTAGAGTGCAAAATATTTTAACCTCGAAAACCTTTCTTCTCTTGTGGGCTCTTCGAGCTATATGGCCATTGCCCGTTGCCACTTCAGCTAATTCGTTGGACTATGTTGATTACTCTGGTTCTACTGCGGATATACTCATTTTTAAGTCTATAACACAGAGAAACCCCGAGCATAGGCCTCTCCATAGCTCGCTGAGCGACCTTGAGCTTGTTCATACGGCCAGCACAGAAGGACTACATCTGAGATCCATAAGTCATCATTTTCAACACGCACTGGTTGGCAATATAGCAATATATCCCCCCTGTCGAAAGTTACATGGTTAATATAAATAATATATAGTAATAAGAGAGAGTGATTGTCGCGCGGGTGTGCAGGTGGGCGAAGTAGTGGGCACGAGCGGGCAGATCGCGCTGGTACCGGGATCGATGCGCCTGGCGGGCAAGGGCGCGCGCGGCCAGTGCGCGCTGGCGTTGCGACACATCGCGCGCGTGCTGCGCGCCGCGCACCCGCGCGCGCACATCCGCAGCGTCGTGCAGGTGAACAACACTGTATATATGTAGTACAGCTATGGTGTGACACACGTGCGACTCACACGCGCACACGCGTAGCGTCGTACAGGAAACCGCCACTTCTATAGATAGTTGTATTGTGCCACGTGTGCGACTCACACGCGCACATGCGTAGCGTCATGCAGGGCAGCTCCACTTCTATGTATAGTTATAATGCATCACGTGTGCGACTCACACACGCACATGCGCAGCGTCGTGCAGCACACTTTATACAACGTGCAGCAACAATGGTGACTTTAATTTAACACGCATATACGTTTTCACATTTTCGTTTCATGAAGAAATTATATTTCCATTAAACATTATTATTTCCGGATTTATTTAAAATTTTAGAAAACAGCATGTTAGAGCATCCTGTACTTAGAGAACTGTTGCGCAGCGGTCATTCGACGGGGTCACGGATCGTAAGATCGCATCATTGAAATTAAAACGAATAAGTAATACTATTAAAGGAAAGAGACATCCCTTTGTCGGCGAGCGGGTGGCGCAGGCGACGCGCGCCCTACCACCCCGCTGCACCGAAATTGAATTCTTTTTTTTGCTATTCTAGGCTAGCCGAATCCGTGTCTTTGACACACTTCTTCACAGTAATGCGCACAATTACGTCGACTAATATTTTTGTGAACTTTTCCACGAAAAAGCCGATTGTTAAAGCTTACCTATTGTTTTATTTATTAATTTTTGTGTAATTAAGTTGGTAATTACATTATGGTATCGCAAGAAAGACGCTCTGTTTTGTTTTCGTTTTCTAATCTAGTAGGTACATTTACATCTCTTGCGATACGGAAACTTATTTGTGTTATTAGTACTTGTGTAAACTTATGATCGTAATGGCAAATACACATCCGAACTACACAGCAGATGAATATGCGGACATGATCCTTATTTACGGAGAATATCGTCAAAATGCCGACCTTGGGATAAGAACATATCGCAACTAGTGTTGCCCAAATGCAAGAACAAGACGAGACTTAGCAAGTCTTGGTCTTGGTCTTGCGCCAATACACCTGGTCTTGGTCTTGGTATTGCGCTCCTAGTCTTGGTCTTGGTCTTGCAGCAAGAGTCTCGCAAGTCTCGCAATGACCTATTAGCCTATTACTATTTATTAAACGTTACTTTAGATCTTAGAACAACTTAACAGAGTAGGTACATATTGAGCTTGAATTAACATAGCCATAGTAAAGACCAACCATATTAATAAATGTCTAAACATTTAATGAGAAATTCGAAAAATCAACTGACACCGGGTGGGGTTTGAACCCACGACCTAAGCGATCCGTGCCGATGCTCTAACCAACTGAGCTATCTACCGTGTCCCACGGCCACGGTCGTCAGTTTCTTAATAAACGTTTACATTTAATAAGCTTACATGTGCTAAAACATGGTTAAACATACATATAAAAACAAATTAATGGCAATAACTACACTGTATTTTAAATAACATTATCTCTCTAGAAAGAGATTGATGGACCCTCACCATATATGAAATGGAATAAAAGAGTTATACAATATACCATTTATTTAAATAAAAAATAAAATACGATGCAAATTAAATTACTTCACAGTATATACACAACAGCTTTGACATTACTGTTACTTTATATTTATTCTTTTGACAAAGCATTAATACAAAGTAACCATCTGGCTGACTCATCACTTAACCTATTTCTATGTTTTCTAATTACTAATGATGCTTTAGAAAATAATCTCTCAGCAAGTACTGAAGTTGCAGGTATTAAAAGAAAATCACGGGCCATCTTCGATAAAATCGGATATTTTGTCTCATGCGTCCTCCAACAGTCTAAAATCTCTTCCGAGATGACGGCTAAACCCAGTTACCTAGGTACCCCTCCAACTCCTTAATAACTAAGCCTTGAAGACAAGATCCAGATCCATTTTTACACATTTCAAGTGTTTTAAAAGTGCTATGGTGTCAACCATATTTATCAAATGTGTGACGACATATTCGAGCACTTTGTGTATTAAAAACACACACTTGCAAAAGTCGAGATTTGCAGTGAACTTACTGAACATGTTTATCTTTTAGGTAATAATAATAACAATAATAGTAAGTAATTATTATAAATCCATATAGTTAATTTTATAATCATTACTTACTAGAATAAATTATTATGATACCTACCTATTATCTAATTACAAGATTTCTTGCGAGATCAGGATAATGTATTCGTGTCCATTCTGAGCACCCGGAAACTTATTTTATTCTTTGAAACATGTACTCTGTGGCGGCAATCAAACAGTGTCAAATGTAGTGCGTGTGGCGCAGCGGCGACGATTGTATGCGATATCAATAATAGCCGCCGGCACGTGTATCTTGACCTTGTACTTTCGAATAGCTGCACAATTTCTTTGACAGGTCAGTATCCGACCTTTGATGACGCCGACAACAAGACGCCGCGCACCATCAAAGTGCCGATGGTCAAAACTAGGGATGCACTCTTTTTTCTTTTAATGGATATTTTCATTCGCTATGTATATTTATGGTATTGTTCGTAATGCGCATCAGTCCAATTTTCCAATTTTTTATTTTCATTATATTGTTTGCGTCTCATAAGAGTCCCTAAGCGTATACCCGAACTCCTATACTCCCTGAAACGACACTTAGTCCTAACTGCAAGACGCAAGAGTCTCGCAAGCTAAGTCTTGTTCTTGCGCAAATCTTGCACGGTCAGTCTTGGTCTTGGTCTTGCTAAAAAGAGGCGGTCTTGTTCTTGGTCTTGGTCTTGCAAAAATGCAAGAACAAGACCAAGACTGCAAGACCAAGACCGATTTTGGGCAACACTAATCGCAACAGATATGGCGATTCAAGACAAGGACTCATCCTCGCACTGTTGTAGGAGCTCTTCAGCGCATCCGCGAATACCGGCTAGTGGATTCTAGGTATCAACGCCCTGATCGACCGCCTACACGACAAAACCCAATCCAGTAAATTGAAAATGTGATACAATATTTCTAAGACCAACCTAAAACTAGCCTCCGCAGAGCGCTAGGCATTTTCAAGTCCATCACAGAACCGTCCATAGGATATTAAAGCGCGAAAAGTGGCAGCCATTCAAGTTTAGAAAACTACATACTCTGCTATCGCGTGATAAATTAATAAGAGCGAATTATTGTCAGTTTACTGAGTAAAATTGAAGAAGACAATGACTTTCTTTCCCAAATTTGTTGGACTGACAAAAGCACGTTCACCAGAAACGGCATGTGGAACCAGCACAATCTGCACCATTGGGTAGTCAAAAACCAAAATCCGCGCGTTTGGTGGGAGTCAGCCCATCAGTACAGATTTTCGGTAAATGTTTGGGTAGCTATTCACGGTGACAACATCATCGGACCCGTATTCATTGATGGGGCATTAAACGGAGAAAGGTTTGTTAATCTACTAAATGATACGGTGTCAGAATACACAAACAACCTAAACATCCATCGATACCAACAACAGCCAGGCGGTGGCTAAATGCCACGTTTGGTGCACAATGGATTGGTAGATTTGGAACTATTAGGTGGCCAGCAAGATCGCCAAACCTCACGCCACTCGATTTTTCTTTCTGGAAGTGCATCAAAGCCGTTGTGTACGCGGAGAACGTGGATTTGGTGGAACAATTGCGCCATCGAATAATAAATGCGTTTGAGAAATTGAGGGAAAAATTTCTATAAGTGACAATTTATTTTCAAATGTGCGGGAAAACATGAAACGCCGTTTAGCTCTTTCTATCCGCCAACACGGTGGTCTCATTGAAAATAAGAAAATTTAAAATAAAGACAAACAAAAACAGTGATTAGTGACGACAGTCATAACTAATAGTAACAAGACAGGGTGATATGATAAGCGTTCGACTAAGCACATCCGCTGTAGGTACTCTCCGGCGCCCCTCGGTTTCTTTGATAATAAGCCGTCAAAGAATCGGACCGACAAGACGCGTTGAGCGGTTGCCAGCGCGCTAAGCGACGCGTTGCCGCTCCGAGTTAACATAAGCCAGCTAGGTAAGTAAATTCATGAATGAATCTTTGCAAGGTGATCCCAATTTTAGTTACTTTTTTATTATTAAATTTGTTTAAAAATTTTCTTTTCAGTTTAAGAGTTATTTTCTGCCGACTTCCAAAAAGGAGACGGTACTCAATTCGACTGTATTTTTTTTGTTTTCTTTTTTTGTTTTTTTTTTATGTGTGTTACCTCATAACTTGTTACTAGGTGGACCGATTTCGATAATTCTTTTTTTATTTGAAAGCTGGTAGTTCTCGTGTGGTCCCATATGAATTTGATCAAGGTCAAGCCAATCGTTTTTGAGTTATTCTTAATAACTTATATTGAAGTCGGCTGTACAAAATTTTAAATTATAACCTATCAAAATTAATATGATGGCACTAGCCCTATAGACGGAGAAGCAGAGCTAAAAAAAGTCTCTGAATTTATTAAGCCTGGTTTTTTCGCAAGTGATTATAATCATAATTTACAATATATCTTTATATATAAAAATTACGTATCACGTTGTTTGTCCGCGATGGATTCCTAAACTACTGAACTGGTTTCAATAAAATTTTGCACACTGCGTTCAGTTTGGTCCAACTTCAGAGATAGGATAGGTTTTATCCCGATAAATGACCCTCAATATTTTTTATTACGAATTTAAGGATTTTTTATAGGACAAAAGGTCGTCGGAGAGGGCAGAACAACGTCTGCCTGGTCAACTAGTTTACAATAAAATACTACGGTCTGTCAAGCGGATATTAGAATTTAGAACAGGTGTCTCAGGTGCACGATCAAACATGTCGTGACCACCGACATAAGAAAATCAATTTCTTAAGGCTAAAACTTTATGAACTTTTGTTTTTTTATATATAAATCAAAATTATAATAGTCAGTCAACGTCCTATGGGGATACAGCTGGTGGGTCAGCTGTAATGAACGTAGCGAGGTTTATAAGGGGGCAATTCGTTTATTAAGCGTGAATTTTTTTAGTAACTACTACTGACTATATTATTAATAAATAAAATAGTCAGTCAACCATTCCATAGATCAACGCCAGTCAGTCAGTGAATAAGAAATGACATTTTTTCGCTCTCTATGGAAATTACACGTTGCAACTCGTTTTTTTTTATTTATAACTTACTTAAAATAAAATAACGTTATCATAATCATTTAAAGTACGTCATTTATTTTAATAAGGTACTTCTGTGTCGCAGTTGTGCCTAAAATTCCCAGAAAAAAAATTCGTACAGGTAAGAACTGGAAGTTTTGTACACAATAGCTCCGGTTCGTTGACCTCCCCTTTTCTATATAATATAATGTAGGAAGAGAGAGATGGTCCTTTTTCCCCCACCACGAAAGTTCGTTTAACTCGAAATCTAACGAGTTTTCTGCGAAGAGCGTTAGTTTTAAATTATAAATAAAAGACGAGCTGCCGCGTGTAACATCTATAGAGAGCGAAAAATTTTCATTTCTTATTCACTGACTGACGGGCGTTGTTCTACGGAATGGTTGACTGACCATTTTATTTATTAATAATATAGTCAGTAGGAGTTACTAAAAAAATTTCACTCTTAATAAACGAATTGCACCCTTATAAACCTCGCTACATACATACATTACAGCTGACTGACCAGCTGTGTCCCCATAGGACGTTGACTGACTATCATGATTTTGATTTATATATAAAAATCCAGCCTTAAGAAATTGATTTTATTGTCGGTGGTTACATTTTTGCCCGCGCACCCGAGACACCTGTTCTTATATCCGCTTGACTGACCGTAGCATTTTATTGTAAATTATGATTATAATCACCTGAGAAAAAACTAGGCTTAATAAATTCAGAGACTTTTTTCGGCTCTGCCTCTTGGACCACTACCCGTGTGTTAAATTAAAGTCACCATTGTAGCGGCCACGTTGTAGTTACAGCTGCGGCACCTCTCTCGTGTAACTCACACGCGCACTTAATGTTAGCATATTCAATTTTATAATTGTATAAATGTAAATATTTATAATATTAATTCAATTGTTTATATTTCGATACTGCGATATAGACGGCAATGTCTTTCTTAACCTAAAACTAGCAGATAACGGAACCGTCAACCATTGATAAATGTATTCAATCAGTTGTCCTCTCACTAGTTTGTTTATGAGTTCTCTTTGTACTATCTTTTCACAAGTTATCAGACCCGGAACGGTTATTTATAGGCCATACCTAGGAGACTAAAATAGATAAAATATTGATAAATCCAATTGGGCATGCCCTAAGCGCATTGAAAAAATTACGTATAACATGATTTATACGGAATTTTTAAAAGTAGTTAAAATACATTTCGACAGCACTATCGGCTTCAACGCCCACGAAACCCATGAAAATGACACCCATGATGAAAAAATTGATACCTTTTGCAGCCGCCACCTTGGATTTACATTTCGACAGCACTATCGGTTTCAAAACCCGCGAAAACCATGAGAATGACACCCATGATAAAAAATTGATATCTATTGCAGTCGCCATCTTGGATTTACATTTCGACAGCATTATCGGCTTCAACACCCTCGAAAACCATGATAATGACACCCATGATGAAAAAATTGATATCTATTGCAGCCGCCATCTTGGATTTATATTTCGACAGCAGTATCGTCTTCAACACCCTGGAAAACCATGAAAATGACACCCATGAATGAAAAAATTTATACCTATTACAGCCGCCACCTTGGATTTACATTTCAACAGCGCTATTGGGTTCAGCACCCTCGAAAACCATGAAAATGACACCCATGATGAAAAAATTGATACTACTTGCTTTTAGTACGTACTACTGTTATTTATTCTGTGCTTTTTAAATATTGTAGTAAAAATCTCTCATTATTATTGAACCGAACAGAGTGACGCAGTCTCTGTTCCATTTAGTAATAATTTTTCATACAAGGTTGCTGAATACACCGATATTTCGCCATTTCGCAACCGAAAAAAATTTATTATAACTGAACTAAATAAAATTAAACTGCCATTTACATTCAATGGCTTCCCACATGATAGATGAAGAGTTTTAAAAATATATTGAGCTGAACAATTGATATTTTCAAAAGTTATCGTATTTTCAAGCCTTGCGGACTTGATAAATCCACACCATAAGCCACTAAAACCCCTTTTTTATTTAAAAATAGCAATTAATCGATAGAAAAAAAAAATAAGTTTAACAATCATTTATCTTATTATATTTAGATACGATTTTATGCGACAAAACGTTGAAATCTTAATTTTTAGGCGATAGTAGAACATACCTTTCGCTTTCGCTTAAGGCATGCAAAAGAGATGGAGACGTTTGACAAATGAAATTATAATTTACTACGCCGAGACTACTGCACTTGGAGACGCGCGAAAACATACATAAAATGTGCATGGACAATCATCTAGATCCAGAACGGTTATTCATAGACCATGCAACTTCTTCGATGTTGGATTCGAATTCGAAAGATGCGGCCCCGCACCACCGCTGCAAAACGTTCAGCGACTGTTTTACCGTGCTGTTATAAATTTATTATTAAGGCTAGTTTGAACAAAAATATCGTATTCTAGACACGATTATGACGCTCGAGAATTGATATTTCTTAAAATAATAATTTCTAGGTAAAAAAATCTTGTATAAATACTCAATTAAGTTCTTTATCGATTGGATTTTTAAAATTCTTTATGTTAATCAAGATAATAAAATTATAATTTAATCGCCGGAAAAAAATGACGTTCGAATTCTCGTATTTTTAAGCGATAACCATATATTTATATATATATATTTGTCGATAATATGAAAAGCGTGTTATTGAATTATATTCTTAATCGGTTACGTTTTTATTTAGATCCATTATTTCTTGATAATAAGCAAAATGTTTCAAATGAAGTAACTTTTTGTATATCACCGAATGTATAGACAAATATTCATGCTAATATTACGGTGCATGCTGTAGGAATATCAACTACCCCATATCGACCTGTCTCGTACGATGCGACATGTGGAAATTGAAACAGGAAATGGACAGCAGCATCTTTCTGATAATTTCTGATTAACTTAAAGTTACAAAAGCTGCGGTTGCACCTGCTAAGCGTGACAACTATGGCGAAATCCCACCAATGAGTCAATGTATGGGGGAGGCCTATGTTCAGCGGACTTTTATAAGCTGTAATGGATGAATGGTAAATGGAAAAGGGATCGTTAAAAGCCCTTCAACGTAGGAAATCCTTGCCTTATGTTATAATATTGTGTCTTGTGCATGGTGTGCAAAGCGTGTGCTACGTGACGCACGTGACAGCGGTTCGCGAAAACATACATAAAATGCACATGGAAAATCATCGAAATCAGCATAGTATCTACGTTACTGTGCCATTATGAGTTACACGTGGTATAAGTTACGCAAAGTGGAGCGGGTTGTGTGTGTGGATTGTGGTAGAGAAATGGTACAGCTATGTTGTGGCTGTAGCATGGCTCGATCGGGGTTGGACAGGACCACGCCCTCACAGAATACCAGTGTAAAATAGCAGCTCAATACTGTTGTGTTTCGTATAGTGAGTGTAGAGAACTGGAGTCCCTTTTTACTGGAAACGAGGCATTCCTCCTCGGGGCTGACCAATGCATCTGCATTTTGATTCTTAATAGAGGATAGATCTAGATTTGTATATGTCACAGTATCCACTTACCATCAGGTGAACTGTGTGCTCGTTTGTCACCCGTATTCTATAAAAAAAATATTGTGGGGCAGAGCGTGTGCTACGTGACGCACGTGTCGGCGGCGCGTGAGGCACGGCGGCAGCTGGAGCGGCGCACGGCGGGCGCCATCGTGCAGTGCGCCGTCGTGCAAGCGCTGCCGCGCGGCGCCGCCGTCGAGTGGCACGTCTGGGCGCACTCCGACAACAACCGCTTCGACTGTGCGTACAAACACACACACACAGACGCGCGCGCTCACAGCCAGAGAGAGAGAGAGTCTTAGACCAATAAAGACTATATCTCTACATTCAAAGTAAAGTCGACAGAGTGCTCAGCTTATGATCACACAGTCTCGGACCAACAAAGAAACATAGTGGGATATCTGCACACTAATTGCGCGAACACACTACACATTAAATGGGACTAATTTTACGGCTTTAATCGAGTTTAATTTTAACTTTTTAATTCGCGATGTTGAGGGTGCTTTACAGCACCCATGGTCACATCACTTGACATTGGCATACATTAGAATAAGGTATAGAAACCGTGCCAAACTTATGATCAAGAATATACACTTAGACAACGCGTCATAGCCATCTTTGTTTGAAGTTGACTACAGGTGTTCATTGATCGCAGTAGCCGTTTAATTTATAAAAAAATCTAGACTCACTCACTTACACATTATATGCACTTCAATTGCAAATTGTAAAACCATAGATGCAAATATGTACGTGAGTGAGTATTATAATAAGTTGAGTATAGTTATATTGCTATTACGTTGTATCTATTATCGGATGTATGTGTCTATTATCGGATATCTTCAGGACGGAAAGTAAACAGAAATGTTTGCAGTGATGTAAGAAAGTATGTATCCTTTGCTAAGCACCGGAGTAAGTCTCGCCCGCATTCGTGGGATAAAACATCTGCTAGTAGCCTAGCATGTGTTATCCCTGTCCCCAACCCCTTCTATTTTCACAAGTATCTTAAATTAGAAAAATTAATAAGTAATCGTCTTCTATAGTATGTGTCATATATTATCAAAAATTTAAAACAAGATTGTACATACAGTGCCTCCTGCCAGCGATGACATATGGTTTAAAGACGTCCTTCCCTGTTGTCTGTATAAGAAAGTCGTTGGTCTTCCTCATACAGACATGAGGGGAAGTGAGAAGGTCGGTGAGTGACCTTGAGCTTCCTCATACAGACAACGTGAAGTGTGGTGAGGGCTATCTCAAGTGTAACAAATACTAATGGTGAGTCAACTCGGACGCTGGTCAGAGTAATGAATGGGTACAGTACAGCATAAAGGAGACGGTCGGCTTCACTTGCGCGCCGGTATTCTCATTTAGGTGTGTCAGCTACGCGCAATTTTGATCTCAACTGTTTGATGTTCACGCAGCGAATTATTATTTGCTTTGACTCGGCGTATGTATGGTAAATGGTTGTGCATCACCGTCATACAATAACAGCTTAGAACTGCGAATCCATCAATTATAAAATTAAAGTCATAAAAATAAAAGACAGTTAAAAACTCTTTATAATAAATGTTACAAATATTTGCTGATTGCACATCTGTAACAAGACAAATAAACAGTATGTATATTTTGTTGCCTCTTTTGTTTTATTCTGTCCTACAAGTCTTAATTCTTAATATTTATGTTCCTTTATAAATCAATTACAGTGTATAGGGCAAAGCGGCGCGGTGCAGCTAATAGTTATAGAATTATTTATATTTAGGCATACATATTTTAAAATGTTAAAATGTAATTTTGTAAAAGTTATATAATTCTGTGACGACCCTTTCAATCTTTAAGGACAAGTTGCCGACAATTTTGCACCGCGACAAAGGAGTTGGTTTACTGTTAGTTTTTATTACACATAATATGGCTATATACGGACTTTCCCTGCGCGATAGATTTCGTATTGACGATATCTGCAGTAGAACTCGATCAAAGTGGCCCAACGGATCATATGGCTCAAAAAACCGACCACCGATGGGGAAGAAAATTTTTCGAATGGCACCTCGCCTCATACCGGCGAGCGAAGTGCAGGGCGGCCTCCCTTACAGATAGAGTGACGACCTGGTAATAGATGCATAAAGTCTATGGATGCAGGTGGCTCATGACCGTTTTTTGTGGCATTCCTTGTAGTTTGTGTCCATATCCAAGTATGTGTGCAAATTATCTCTATTTTCTGAACTGTTAATGCTACACTACTGCTACACTACGCTACTGGTTCGTTATATTTTAATAAAAATAATAAATCTTCTCTTAGCTCTGTAAGAGCATTCCTAATACACGGCCCCATGTAGTATAGAGTAGGGTAATTTTTATTTATTATAATATAATATATTTTAATCAATACCTATTTAAGAACTCACTTATGCTTTTAACACTGGTTCAGAAACAAACCTCTGTCCTGGGAAGAACTAGTAAGAAACCCAGCTATTAAATATAAAAACATTTAGAAACAGCATTGTAGCGATCATCTTATTGCAAGGGGTTATTATTAATCATATATTATTTAATATAAATAATTTTAACTTTTTGATTGATATTTACTAGGACTGTGTTATAAAAGTGATAACATTGCACAATTAAAGAACTACGGACTCTTTAGAGTCAAGTAATTGGGGTACTAGCTTGTGCTTGTTCCTAGTATTTGCACAATATACCTACATCACTATTTATAATATATTTAAAACGTATTTTGTTTTTATGTACCTACCTGTATAGATAAATTTTTCGTTTCCAAATGTACTAATATACTTACGAAAATTGTTGTACACACAATTACTAAATACAAATTGTGACGAATGTTTTGCAATTTCATAAAACGTGCTTGCTAAATCTTACTGATTCAGTCATTTAGTCTTATTTACGGGTTATCTCTTATTTATAGTATTGACAGATTTTTGGCGCCAATAATAAACGTGCTGTGTGAACGTTTCAATAAGTGTGGCATAAATTAATTATTATCTTAGACGACGGAAATATAATAATAGCATCCCAGGCACTATAAAATTCTATAATGTACCGCTCAACTGTATAGGTGATTTTACCTTAGTGTATCTTGGCTCACTGATTATACCCAAAGATAATATTTGTAGACCTAGAATAGAGTGTAGAGAACTGGAGACCCTTATAACTGGTAAATAGACATTCTATCTTAGTCCTCAGAGGTGACAACGCGTCTACATTTTGATTCTAAATCGGGGATAGATGTAGGTGTCTATGGGCTACAGCATCCACTCAACATCAGGCGGACTTTTCTTCTCACAATGTCTTAAATTTTTGATTGAAATTATTAACTGTTTGATAACAATGGATTTTGAACTAGAATTCGTTTACTGAACATCGAATAATAATACAATATGAAAAACAAAAATCTCTCCAACTTTACATATGAAATCATGATGATATTTTAAAAATAACAATAATTTGCAAATAGCTATACCTTTTTGTTCTTAAAATGTATGTTATTGTAAGAATCCAGAACTAATTATAATTTTAATTTAGTGATAACATAGTGAAAAAATAAGTATGATTTACCACTATCTTCGTACCTACGTAGTAAATGCGTTACTTCAATTTCTTAGTATAATAACATGTAATATACGGCTTATGTAATGTGTAATGCTTTTATGTTTTTAATTTATGCTAATAAAAGTTTTATTGCTCTTACTTAGGCGACTGCTAAACTTCATATATCATCATTGTCATAATTACAGCTCATCACAAGGCCACAAAAATACCACTGTCAAACTAAACTTTTTCATTTTTATGTGTTTTTCTAATTATATAATAGTTACATCTGGCTGCTGTGTAAAACGTTATGATCGGTTACAGATGAGGAAACCGGTTGCAACGTTGGCGAATACAAGGTCGCCATTACCAGGAGGTGGAATTATGAAAATACAGTGGCAGCGTGCGTTTGCTATGTAGCTACCGGTAAGATATTCACATGAGATTGTATTGTAGGTGTATAACTATCGAAGATAGCCGCATTATATCGAACGTTGACATTTTAAAATACTATATAAAATATTTTTATAACATGTACAATTTTCTTTTATAAAATATTTGAATAATATATAAACGACCTCACTCATAAAAATAGACGTCAATTTGAGAAATGTTTAAAGTAGCTCTCTCTCCCTTTTCAGAATCTATCTCTATAACTGTCCTTTTAATGGAAAGGGACAGGTATAGAGATCATTAATACTTAATTTAAGTAAGCGATAATGAACGGTTATAATAATGCCGGAAATGTTTAACTGAATTTTTTAAATTATACATTTAGATGTTAAATACGTTTTCCTTGCCTGAATTTCATTCTTCATGTGTGTTAAAAATAACAAAATAATCACAACATTCAATGCACAAGATCTAGATATTTATTTTAGTACTCTAGCAGTCATCATAATATGATCATTGATAACACATCTGAAAGATTCTGTATGTATGTAAATTCCATGCATGCAAATACAGATGAGTACATATAATGAGCCGTATAGTGGATGTGTAAGAATATCCACTACCCCATATCGTCCAGCGTGTGCTGTAAACGGCTACAGAGGAAACAAACCAAGAGAAAGGCAACAGCGTCTTCTATTAATAACTAGAAAATAAAAAAAAACTGCGGTTGCCAAGCGTGGCAACTATGGAAAATATCCCGAAAATATTACGCGACCGTCTAAGGGGAGGCCTATGTTCAGCCGTGGACTTTAATAGAGCGCTCGACTTAAATTTCATAGTGTACGGGTAACCTGATTTCGATCACCGCCGTGCACTGAATTATTGATTACAATTTTAAGCCATAACTTACTAAGTGCACAGCGGTGAATGGAATCATTGATCATCGCGGCGAATTCTCCTTTGATGCAAAAACCCTCTCGGGAAAATACAGGATTGTTTTACTAAATGTTTAATTCAAGACAGAGCACTTAATACAGAAATGAAGAGAGACGTCACTTATTTAATGAATACCCACATAAGTACATATTTAATAAACTCATATTTAGACAATGCAACAAATGGTCAATATTATTCCACCATCTAACAATATGTTATTTGTCAATCTCACAGGTTCTTCGCCCTCTACCTGTCAACTCACGTTCCCCAATGAAGAAGCGTGCAAATCTCACAGAACTCTCGCCTCACAAATGCAGTGTTCAGAAATAGAGGAAGTTTTAGAATATGCCCTCAGAAAACTCTTAAACGACTGCTACGATAGAGAGCCGCTTCCCGCTGTAAAGCTCAGGATATTTTATCAGGTAAAGTTGTTTTCCATTTCAATAAAGATCAAAAATTCAATGAGCGCAATTGGTGGATGGTTTATAGATTTAAATATTTTGCTTCAACGGTATAAAGAAAAAGAGTGAATAAAATAAATTTGTCTAAGAGTGAAACGAAATAATATGTACTACGACGAGGCATTTGACTGCATCTGGTTTTTATTCATCTAACATGGATTTAGATATACTGAAAATAATACCAATGGAATCTATATTTTAAATCCACTTAGTCTCTCTGTCAACAGCCTCGCTGGTGATATTGATCATGGAAACTATTTTTGAATAGTGTTTACTTATGTCGACATAAAATGTAGCTTACGATCAAAGAGATTTAAATATATAAGTATACTATAGAGCGGACATAGGGAACAATTGCATACAAAAACTTTGAGATCGCGCGTGTGTGACGCCCTCTAGCTAAAGATAGCAAAACTACGCTGAATATTTATTAGGAAAACATTTCAGCTATTCCCCACGTGACGCTAATAAATGTAAGGTAAAAACCCGTTTTAGGAATGTTACTGTTTCGACATCAAAGTATCGATAATGTTATTGAAGATTACTATGTTTGTAATGCTTTACGATGTGATAATAGGGAATATGCATGCTTTTTAGGGTTCCGTACCTCAAAAGGAAAAAACGAAACCCTTATAAGGATCACTTTGTTGTCCGTCTGTCTGTCTGCCTGTCAAGACCCTTTTTCTTAGGAACGCGTGGAGGTATCAAGCTGAAATTCATATGAAATACTCAAGTCTACTGTCCCTTGGAGATCTGAGAGAGAAATCATATTCAGTTTTTGCTACATATCGGGACTTACAATATACCCTAATGCACAATCGGACATATTTTCTTTAAAAATATTTTTTAAATTTAGGAAACGAATGCGTCTTGAGCTCTTGATGATGTCACTAAGACTAAATGACACAAATCCGAAATATAGTCCTATAGGACATAATTAAGTCGTGACCATTTTGTTGCTGATGTCCGGTCTATTACTACTACTTAAATGTCTTTTCTTACGATACATGAAGATAGGTGATTGGCGCAAGTGGATTAGGATTAGGACTGTAATATCTTTAAAGTAGGCCTAGTAATATTTCAGTGTTATATTGCATATTACGAAGAATTATACTTACGTAATTTAGGACTTCTGTTCTGCCTTAAAGTTTTCACCCTCTAATCTATTTCTGCCGCCAAATAGCAGCGCTTGCCCATAATGTAATCTTCTACTACATTTTAAAACAAAAATCTCAATTCTAGATGACTACAAAAACAAGAAAATCGAACTGAGTGGTAGGTTTAATGCAAATTAATTAACTCTGGGTATTCTGGAAAATTGCCACCTGTTCTTCGAAAAAAGTGATTTATTCTAGAGCAGTGACATGTATATTATAGTATCTGGATGACCCAGAGTCTATTATTTGAGAGAGTATTGATTTGACTTTTATCTTTGTACCGAAACATCGCCAATAGGATAAAAATATTTGCACATATCGGTTTTTTTACTAATTACTACCGTATTCTTTATTTTTTTAAAGCTCTGTAATTTTTTTCGTGTTTTGTTTTAAATATACTTAGATACAAATTAGATGCGTTGATAAAGGGCTCCTAATAATAGCTTTTCTCTCAAAAGAAGGTACTCAAAAAAAAGGGAAAAATAATCGGAATGGAGACATCTGGACGCGAACTAGAATCTTTTGGTTTCGAAACCGCCCGATTTCCTACCTCAGCTATTATAACTTTATAGTTAGTGGTGAAATTTACTTTCGTATTCTAATGATATTGTAGCAGTTTTTCATTGCCTGAAAACACGGATAAACGACATTTTCTAAAAATGAATCCTAGCTAGATCGATTGAGCCTCCTAGAAAATCGTTGGAGCCGTTTCGGAGTAAAACTTTTAAAATTTTAATAATATGTCAGCTTAAAAAAGCATAAATGACTCATTAGAATTAAATGATAATTATTAAACATTGTGGAGGACAATTAAAACCTAAAATAATTTTATACTCTATAAATAACACAGATGATCTCAGACCAAAATGATAAGATAGATGGATCGCATATAAGGAAGTGAACCTAAACAGCGGCGATCTTAATTCTATTTTAGAGTCGCCGACTAGTTTTTACATTTTTACGACGCAATAAGGTACAATTAGAATTTTTACGTAATGATTAGACGTATTCTTCATTTCTAATATTATAAAGTACCTTTTTTGCGACCTTGCGTGCGTTCGTTAAGCAAATTGTTTAAAATGGGTAAGTAATAGGTAATAAAAAATAACGAATAAACCGCAGTTGATTTTTTTTTTACTTGATATTAGGAAGACGCTACTGCCCATCTCCTGGTTGGTCTCTTTTTCTCGCATCTTATGACAACATCGAGACGATATGGGGTAGTAGATATTGGTACACCGCAACTACGCGCAGTAGAGCCACGCTGCAGCTATATTAAGGTTGTAGTTGTAGCTAGAATCGATTCGACCGAGGCAGAACCAGTACCACGCTCTCACAGAATAATAGGGCTAGCAGCTTAATACTGCGGTCTTGTATGGTGAGACCCTTTTTACTGGAAATGAGGTATTCCATGTCAACTCGATTGATTCTTAATCTATATATATAAAAGGCAAACCTGACTGACTCATCTATCAACGCACAGCCGAAACTACTGAACGGATTTCGCTGAAATTTGACATACAGACAGTTGTAGTACACGTAGGCATCCGCTAAGAAAGGATTTTTGAAAATGATACCCCCTAAGGGGGTGAAAAAGGGTTTAAAAATTGTATGGAAGTCCGTCATTTTTAGTGCTAGAAGCCTGTTGATACGGCCTGAGGTCGAGATTCACTAATTATACAAAAAAAAAGTCAATTAAAAAGTGCACAAGAAAGATATAGGCAGACCAAGCCAGATTCAAATCGTAAAGCTGTATCCGCTTATCAGAAAAAAATCCCGATGTACACAGGCAAGCTGTTGCAACCAGTGCATAAAGCCATTCAGTCACGGTACGAGGGAAACATTACACTGCGTTTATGGAAAAACAGGGTCCATTCCGCTATGGAATATGACCCTGCTATTGCTTATAGAACTGACAACAGTGTAGCCTTGGGTTCTATGACATACAAGTATCAGTGGTGCAATGCACTGAAATGAAAGCATGAGACACCTGGTATATGTTGCAGCGATGGAAAAGTGCAACTTGATCGTTTGAAACAACTGCCTGAACCACTCTTTAGTTTGATTAATGATCTAAATCCAGATCATGACCATTTTATGGGTAATATTCGTAAATATAATGCCTGTTTCCAAATGACTTCCTTTGATGGTAAACAGGTAACAGCAGATGGTTATTCACCGACTTTTAAAATAAAAGTCCCGTTCTACCATTTAATTGGAAGTATATTACCAAAAGCCGAACATGACGCTCAGTACCTTCAAATATATTTTGTAGGTAAAGATGATCGGAAGCAAAGATTCTATGTTCTAAATTTCCTAACTTAAAGTCAAATTTAATCAAACAATTGCAGAATATGCTACATCAAGTGAACCCGTATATAAAAGATCTGAAAAGTGCCATTGATAAAGCCCCTCTTTCAGAGTCATACAAAGTTGTCATACATGCTGATAAAATACACTATAAGAACATAACAGGTAGGTACAATGCACCAACTACTAATGAAGTGGCTTTAGTGTTAGTGAATCAACAATTTGATCGAAGGGACATCATCCTCGAGAGCCGAAGTAATTCACTTCAGCGTATTAGTGAGATACATCTAGCATATGTGATGCGCTACAGTATCCATTGACGTTTTGCTGGGGGGAATGATGGGTATTCAACCAACACACCACAACGCGATCCCACAACTAAGTTGCTGCTTAATAAAACTGTCTCTTCTGCAAGTTTCTATTCTTATAGAATAATGATTAAAGAAGGAGAAGATAACTATTTAGTCAACTGTCGTGCTCTTTTTAGTTTAGTCCTATGTATAAAAACGAAAGATCTATAAAAACCCGCGTTAAAGAACATATAGCTGACGTGAAGCACCGACGTATCGGAAAGTCTGCAGTTTGTGAACATGTTCAAGATCGTCCCCGCCATTACATTCGATTTGATAGACCACAAATTCTCGCAAAAGAACACCGATTCCTCCCAGGGATGATTCGAGAGGCTATTGAAATTAAAAAACATCCTAATTTCAATAGAGAAGATGGATGGGTGCTGCCATCTGCTTGGGATCTCATAATTAATAAAATCAAATCCAAACCCAAGTATACCACTGCTAGACTTCAAGATACTGTAAGCTCATTCTGCGTAAATCGAACCAAAAATTAATATTAAAAAACTGAAGGTAGCCGGGCTAACTATGACAGCAGGACGTCAAACACCTCAGTGCCCCGTGACCACGGGTGCTGGAAAGCACCCGAAACGTCGGGAATATAAAAATAAGTTAATATACGCGATAAAATCCGTAAAATTAGTTTTATTTAAATTATTTTAGTGTTCTGTCCTTGCTGAATATTTTAAAAGGCAATTAGAAAGACAGGGAGATATGGATGTAGAGCACATAACAGATGTGGTATTTAACAAATGCCTTTCGGTAATAGAAGATGCCGTATTAGCGTTGGGTGGTCGGCCACTAAAAGAGTATGGGTTACCTCAGCCAAGCAAAGAACAACAATTCGAAAATAGAGAGTTTCTTAAAGAGACAAGTTACGACTTAGCATCATTAGAAAACACAGTTTAAATGAAGGATCAGTGAACGACGAACAAAAAGCAGTTTACAATCGAATTAACACAAAAATTGAATCAAATGAGGGTGGAATATTCTTTTTAGATGCTCCCGGTGGTACAGGCAAAACATTCCTCATAAGTTTGCTATTAGCAAAAGTTAGAAGTACTCGCGGAATTGCTGTGGCTGTGGCTTCTTCTGGGATCGCAGCTACACTGCTTGAGGGTGGACGAACTGCTCATGCTACCTTCAAGTTACCATTCAATTTAACAACAGCTGAACTTCCATTTGTAATATATCGAAACAAAGTAATTTTGCTGAAGTATTAAAACATACGAAAATGTGAGAGGAAGTGTGGGATGAAATAAACATGGCTCATAAGGGTGGCGTAGAGGCTTTAAACAGAACTCTACAAGATATAAGAGGAAATAAGAAGTTAATGGGTGGTGTAACGGTTTTGCTGGCTGGAGATTTTAGACAGACTACGAGTAGTGCCAAAAGGAACTAGAGCAGATGAAGTTAAGGCGTGTCTTAAGAGATCCACTTTATGGCCTCTAATTAAAGTCCTCAAGCTCTCGAAAAATATGCGGGTACACTTAGGAGAAAAAGAGTCTGCTGGTAGTTTGCGAATCTCCTACTTGAAATCGGCAACGGTGATTACCCGATAAATGACGGAATAATAACCATCCCTGATAATTTGTGCACAGTTGTGTTTACGTTACAGGAGTTAATATCCAAAATTTACCCAGATATTGCTCATATCCACGATATGCCAATGGAATGGTTGCGTGAACGTGCCATACTAACTCCGAAAAACGACCAAGCAGTGGCAATTAACGATATACTGTTAACGTCTTTTGAGGGGGAAGAAATGGTGTACAAGTCAATAGACTCTTCAGCACAGATGACAATTAACTATCCTTTCGAATTTCTTATTTCACTAAAACCATCGGTTCTTCCACATCATAAGCTTATTCTGCGCGTGGGCACTCCTGTTATCTTGTTGCGAAATTTAATAAAACTTCACAACTGTGCAACAGAACCAGACTAAAAGTAAAAGCGTTACATCGCAATGTAGTGGAAGCCACAATTCTAACTGCATGTGTGCAAGGGGAAACTGTATTTGTATCAAGAATTCATTTGATCCCGAATGATCTTCCTTTTGAATTCAAACGAATACAGTTTCCCATCAAAATCTGTTTCGCAATGATCATAAACAAATCGCAAGGGCAGTCATTAAAATTTGCGGGTATAGACTTGAGAGAAAATTGTTTTTCACACGGGCTATTCTATGCGGCTTGCTCACGCGTAAGCTTGTTCAGTAGTCTGATAATTTTGGCACACAGTAATAGATTAGCAAAAAATGTGGTGTATAAAGAAGTTTTGTAGTTCACTAGCTTTTGCCCGCGACATCCAGTTACAATTGTGTCTTGTACCCGCAGGCTCTTTTTCACACATGGGCGCGATGTAACCGAACTCCACGCGGACGAAGTCGCGGGCAAAAGCTAGTCGAGGATAAATGTGGATGTCTATGCGTCACTGCATCCACTTACCATCAGTTGGACTGTGTGCTCGTTTGTCACTCTTTTTTTATAAAAAAAATCTGAGTTAAAGGTTGACAAACGTGTGTGTGTGTGTGTGCGTGTGTGCAGGTGTGGAGCGCACCGGGCGCGTGTGCGCTGGTGCGTGCGGCGCGCGGCGCGGCGGCGCGGCTGCGCGCGCGCGTGGCGCTCACCGTCGTGCCGGTGGCCGCGCTGCACAACGCCTTCACCTTCCTCTCCATCAGCGGCCTGCGCCTCGACGAGTGACGCCGCCCAGGTACAGTCAAGTCTTATACCATAGAGTCTAGTCTAGTAGTAAGTATATAATTTAGTTTAAAAAAAACTTCACAACATGCTGATACATCACATTGGCAAAGTTTTTGGGTAATTTTAACAGCGGACGACGGTATTATCTCGAGGCCTTAAGTGGATAAAATAACCTGAGATATCACCATCGTGGCACTTGTTACATCATTACCACTAATAAGTTTTTCGTCCACTTTAAACCTTTATTTAAACCTTAAAACACAAGCAGAATTTCAACAGCAGCACCAGCGGAAAAGTTCCCGCCATTACTTTCACCCAACTTCAGCTCTCTACAGACCAATTTTACCTATCTTTGGTCTTGGACAAGAAGTAGAGTTGAAGTTGATAAGCACGTTGATAGAAGAGGATCACCAAAGTTTAAAATGTTTATTAAAAAGTTAAGTAGTTACAAGGTTATTGTGGCAAGAACGGTTGTTGACGTACTGGTTTGAAGTTAAATATAATAAAATTATTACTAATTAAACATGCACCCCGAAAGTAGGCCGCAAACGTGAGCGCAAACAAAGAAAAATGAGAGAAAAAAATAAAAGAAAGAGAAAAACTATCAAGGTAAAGTAATGCCAGTACAAAGCAAATAATGTAGTATTAATCGTCAAAATTATAACTGCGAACACCGTTCGCATCCCGCAGTGGAGTGTTTTTTCATATCTTCTAGTTCCAACACTTCATTTGTATGTGAGGTCATGTCTTTGTGTTTAGTGCAATAACGGCTGAAAAGCTTTCTTGCGATCCATACAGTCGTTCGAAGAATTGCAGCGCTGAGAAGGATGTAGCAGATCAGGTATTGGTGTAAGTCGTGACTCGAAATTGACGAGGGTAAGACTTCGTTTTCATGTAGTGAATGTAATCGCCTGTCAATTTCTTGAAATTCAATATCAGGTGTTTCTTGGATTACTTTCCATGATACATTTTTTTTTATAGGATAGGGTGACAAACGAGCACACAGTCCACCTGATGATAAGTGGTTGCTGTGGCTGCTGTGGCCCATAGACATCTACATCTATCCTCGTTTGTGAATCAAAATGCAGAGATGTTGTCACCCGTGAGGACTAAGATGGAATGCCTCTTTTCCAGTAAAATGGGTCTCCGGTTCTCTACACTCACCATACGAAACACAGCAGTATTAAGCTGCTATTTTACGCTGGTATTCTGTGAGAGCGCGAGTCCTTCACCGGTCGAGCCGACCCATTCGTTCTACAACTATACTACTTATATACTGCAGCATGGCTCTACCACGTATTCAGAGTTGGGATATCGAAGAAGTAGTTGTCGATTTTCATTTTGGTATTGTACTCATTGTGTGAGTGAATAGTGAAGTGTTTGGATAGTAGTACACACTCTTGCGCGAGTTTTACTATGCCAGACGACGTCATATAGTGGGACGTCACGTCAAAGTTGCATATCGTGCGCAAAGTATAAGCTCCGCAGCAGACGACCAGCCAGCTGTTCGGCGTGTGTAATGAGATCCACGCGTCATTGCATGATGCCGGCTTGACGTCACAGGTTGTCCCCGAACTGTGACTCAATAACTTAGCTTCACACGGAGCATTGCTGTTATCTAAGTTTAACACCGGTAAGTTTTTGTAACAGAGAAAACTATCTTGTTTCATTTGAGTACACAGCTTCGTGTCAGTTTCTGTCGCAGATATACAGGTGTACTTTTGAAAGTTAACCGCAATGTATACAAATTGTAGGTTTATTATATTAGTCATTCCTTTCTCAGTTTTAACAGGCAGTGGAATCATTTTGAAGACCAGAAAATCTCCATCTGAAGTAAGTGGAATGTGAACTTCAAACAAAAAGTAATGTAAAGTAACTCACGCTTTCGGGTACAGTAGTTTGTAGAGAGTTTTGATGTCTTCTCTCACGTTTTCTATTGGTAAAATCAATGATTTTGGCAATTTTCCAGAAATAACATCCAGTTAGTCGACCAGGTTTACTGAAGTAAATGCACGTCCATATGTCCTTTATAGACGTCAGTGAGAGTGTCAAATAGTATATCTTGCATTACCCTCATATTCTTGATAAGTAAGTATGCCGTTAGTGAAGCAGAATTGAAATAACTTTTAGCCATCATGGCTTCCACAGTTGATTCAACCTTGGCTAAATTGGTCTCAGTTTGATTCATAAAGCCTTCCATCATGGTAAACTGTCGGTTTATGTTGTCTTAAGTTTTCTTTAGCACCTTGTTTTCTAGTTCAACAATCGAAGTTTGATCTTTTTTAGTAGAGTTAGTAAATAGTTTTCGTTGTTTTGAATTGCTTCAATGTCCTTTTGGTCCTTGTCTGCGAATTGTTGAGATCCAAAACTCCAAACAAGCTGTTGGCGATGCTGCCAATGCCGTTGATTAAGCCGCGTTTTCTCCGCTCATATAAGTGTTTATGAGGTGCCAGTAGGATGATGTTGTAGCAATCTAGTAGTTCCATTTCATGTGATAATTGCTCTGAAGTAGTTTTGCAGTATCTCGGGTCAGTTTTATCACATAGGTTGTTCAAGCCATGAAGGTCCCGGTCTATCCTAGTCCAATAATTAGTTAAGTTGTAGTAGATAAGCAATGTCCACTCGTCGTGAATCATTTGCAATTTGCCAACGGTGTCGTAATATATCGGCCGGTCGGTTTCAAGGTCTGTAATGTAAGTACTTGGCGCCACTTCACCATATGATCCAGATATGCAAATAAACATTGTTAATAGGGTTGCCATTAAAGCTGAGGATGTTTTTATCTTAGTTTTCTTTGTCTTCGTTGGTTGTTGAGGTTTGATTTCATCTTTTTGAGGCTTTTCATCTTGTTGATTGCAAATTGATGGTTTGGAATTTATTTCCGCTTCCGACGGGAGTGGTGACAGTTTTACGATGGGACGCTTGATGATGCCAGTTGGTTTTTTAAAGTAGTTACTCTTACGTAACCGTCAGAACCGGGATCAGTTTCAAGTACACGACTCATGGCCCATTTTCCTGGCGGCAAGTTGTTGTCTTTGACCAGCACGATATCGCCTTCTTTGATGTTCTTAGTTGATTCGTTCCATTTACTTCGGCCTTGTAGTTGAGTCAAATATTCATTAGACCAATTTTTCCAAAATGTTGTAACATGTTTTCAGTCAGTTGCCATCGCCGACGTAAGTTAATGTCTCTGTCGTCACTGTAGCCGGAGATCGGTAGAGACATCACAGGGCTGCCGGTTAGGAAGTGTTCTGGAGTTAAGAAATTTTGAAATTCTTCAGGATCTTCAGTTAGTGGACTGGAGAGGTCTGGAGTTCATGCACGCTTCCATCTGTGTTAATAAAGTTTGAAACTCTTCGTAGGTAAGTTTCTGATCTCCCAGTACACGACGTAGGTGGTACTTCATTGACTTCACAGCTGCTTCCCAAAGACCACCTGCAGTAGGCCACGCCGGCGCGTTGAAGTGCCATTCTAGCTCCAGTTGTCCAAGTGGTCAAAAAAATCTGACGAGATTTGCAGTTGGAATTGTTCGAATTGTTTATGTAACGTCTTAGATGCGCCGATAAAGTTAGTTCCGCAGTCCGAGTAGACATGTTTTGAAGTGCCACGTCGAGCACACATTATTTGAAAGGCGGCGATGAAAGTTTCGGTGCTAAGGTCTGATACAAGTTCTATATGTACGGCTTTAGTCGCCATAAATACAAAGATGTATATCCCTTTGAAGTTTTAACACCTCTTCCCTTGTTCAGTTTAACGTCCACGTGACCAGTGAAGTCTACTGTACTGTACGTGAACGGCCGGGACGGTGTTATACGATGTTGAGGTAGGTCAGCCATAATCTGATGAATTTTTGTTTGTTTGTGACGATGACATCGGTCGCAGTGACGTAGTTTTGCTTTCACGGCCCGATTTCCGCCAACAATCCATTAACGTTGCCTTAGATATGCTAACGTTAACCGAGCGCCTCCGTGAAGTGTTACAGAGTGAGCTTGCTCGATAATTAGACCAGTGTAGCGTCCACTTTGAGGAATGTGGGCGGGATGTTTCATCTCGAATGGTAAGTTAGAGTTGTTGATACGGCCGCCCACTCGTATAATCCCTTTTTTGTCTAAGTAAGGGTTGAGTTTCAAGATACAACTTTTGTTTCTAATGTTTTCTTGTTTTATAAGTTGTTTGTACTCGTTATCGAAATCTGTACTTTGCACAAATTTAATTATTTGTTCGTTGGCGGCTGATATTTCCATTGTAGTAAGGTTTTGGTAGCCAGGAATATTTTAATTAATATATTAATAATTGGCGAAAGGTTCTCGAGTGGCAGCCTCGTACCGGCAGGCGAAGTGTAGGGCGTCCCCCCACTAGATGGAGTGACGACCTGGTAAGATATGCAGGAAGTCGATGGATGGCTCAGGACCGTGCTTTGTGGCATTCTTTGGGGGAGGCCTATGTTCAGCAGTGGACTTGTGAAGGGCTGTAATGATGATGATGATGAAGGTTTTGGTGTCACGTTTCGTCTTACTACACGCCTTTGTAATGAAGTGCAGTATCCATGCCGTGACTCCTGTTACGCGAGTAAATGAACTGCATTTGTTGATTAAAATATCAAGGAAATGTTGATCTTGATTAGTAGTTAGGGCTTCCACCTTTATGGTTTTAAGTTTGGCGTTAGTAGTGTATTAACATGTTTAGGTGGTTTATGCACTTTTCAGTTTCCATATTTTGCTGGAATTTATTAGTTTGCTGGGGTACCATCCACGACAGGCACAATCTGCTGGATTTTATTCCGACTTGACGTACTGCCAATTCTGTGATGGGATAGTTTGATTGATTTTGTTAACCCGGTTAACTACGTTACATATCTTTCCCATTTAGATACGTCTCCTTGCAGCCTGGCGAGAACGACTTGAGAGTCACACCATGAGCGAACTTTTATCTCATGTACTTTGAAGGCTGCTTTGGTTTTCTCAATCAGTTGTGAAAGTAGTAGTGCGCCGCATAATTCC